GGAGTGGGATGGTAGGGGGAGGAGGGGGATGTAGGAAGGGGTAAGGATGGTGGGGGGGGGTGGGGAGGAGGGGATGTAGGAAGGGGGTAAGGATGGTAGGGACGGGGTGGGGAGGAGGGGATGTAGAAGGGTAAGGATGGTGGGGGAGGCGGGTGGGGAGAGGGATGTAGAAGGGGTAAGGATGGTGGGGGGACGGGTGGGAGGAGGGGATGTGGGAAGGGGTAAGGGTGGTGGGCGTGAGGGATGGTAGGGGGACGGGGTGGGGAGGATGGGATGTAGGAAGGCGGTAAGGATGGTGGGGAGCAGAGGGGAGGGTTGGGCGTGAGGGATGGTAGGGGACGGGTGAGTAGGTGGGGATGTAGGAGGGGGTAAGGATGGTATGGTAGGAGGTGGGTAGGAGGGGATGTAGGAAGGGGTAAGGATGGTGGGGAGGAGAGGGGAGGGAGGGTTTGGGCGTGGGTGAGGATGGTGTATGTATATGTTGTGTGTGTGCATACTTGCGTACACACCCACGCTCGCTCAACGCCCACGTACAAATACACTTGTATGTATGCATGTGTGAGTTGAGGGATGGTGGAGATGGTGGTGGTGATGTGATGATGGTGGTGATGGTGATGGTGATGATGATGTGATGATGTGATGGTATGGTGTGGTGATGTGATGATGATATGGTGGTGATGTGATGAGTGATGTGATGGTGTGATGTGATGATGATGGTGGTGGTGATATGGTGTGATGAGGAGGATACTGATGGTAGTGGTGATGCAATGGTGGTGGTGCTGATAGTGGTGATTCTGGTGAATCTGGCGATGGTCCGAAAAAATGATCTTAACATCCTTTTATCTTGATTTTACACTATTTTTGTCTCGCATTACTTTAACGTCTTTTATCTAAACATTTATCCCTTATCTTGTTTCCCTTTATACTATAACTTCATTCGAGGCAAAATATGAAGGCGAATAAAGATCGGAGCTAAGCAAGGGAAGGGAGGAAAGGTGTGTAAATAAGTGGATGGAGGATTCAGGAAGCGAAGGGAGGGACAAACAACGGAATGACACACGTAGGAAGATAGGAGAGAGATGCAGGTATGTGTGTGTGTATGTATGTAGGCTAGGGGTTAGACGTACATGCAGAGGGACTTACAGAGGGACTTACTTACAGAGGTACTTGCAGAGGGACTTGCAGAGGGACTTACTTGCAGAGGACTTACTTGACTTACTTGCAGAGGACTTACTTGCAGAGGGACTTACTTGCAGAGGGACTTACTTGCAGAGGGACTTACTTGCAGAGGGACTTACTTGCAGAGGGACTTACTTGCAGAGGGACTTACTGCAGAGGGACTTTACTTGACTTACTTGACTTACTTGGACTTGCAGAAGTGCACACAGTCGAACTCGGAGGTACTTGTAATCGTGTATGAGAGACAGACGTACTTACAGACGTACTTACAGACGTACTTACAGACGCACACACGGACGAACACGCCGCGACAGACGTAGAGGGAAAAGAGGAAGAAATGCGAAGTATCGGAGAAGCGATCAAGACTGCAAATGGCGGAAAGGGGGAACGGAGAGAACAAAGGAGAGGAAGAAGAAGAATAAGAACAGAAAAATGGAACGTCGGGAGGAGGAGCGCGCGACGGATAACGAATGTGGAGAAGGAGAAGAATACATGAATATAATCGTCAGATGGAAGATTGGATTGAAAGAGGGAGCGAGGGAAGGGGTTGCGGAAGGAAGGAAGGAAGGGGAAGAGGGGAGGAAAGTGAGGGGGAGGGGCGAGGGGAAGGGAGGAGGGGGAGGGGGATTGAGACAAACGGATGCAGACGGAGTAAGAAAAACTGATATAGATAGATATAAAGATCGACAAATAAAAAGATGTGTGTGTTTTCGTGTGTGCGTGTGTTCGTGCGTGTGAATTTGTGCACGCGCGTGTGTTTGTGAGTGTTTGTTTTTGTTTTATCCTCTCTCATCCCATCCTCCTCCTAATCTCTCTCTCCTCACCTCTGCCTCACTATAACCTTTCTCTTTTCACTCTTGTCTTTCAATCTCTTTTTTTTTTCCTTTTTTTTTTTTTTGCTCGTAGGTCGAGTCACGAAGCCACGCCCCCTTTCGAAGCGAGCCACTATCTCCTTTTTAAACCACGCCCATAACGCCTGCCATCACTGTCAGCTGTGAGATACTCCGGAAGATAGCAGAGACACGGCATCTTGAAGACGATGGAAGAGGGAGGGAGGGAGGGAGGGAGGGAGGGAAGGGAAGGGGGAGGGAGGGGGGGAAGGAGGGAGGGAAGAGGAAGGGGGAGGAGGGAGGGAGGAAGGGAAGAGGGGGGAGGGGGAGGGAAGGGAAGAGGAGGAGGGAGGGGAAGAGGAGGAGGGAAAGGGGAGGGAGGGAGGGAGGGGGAATTAAGAATTGAGGAGGCACGGGAGAAGAGAGGAGGAGGAATGGGAGTGGAGGGAGGGAGGGAGGGAGGGAGGGAGGGAGCAAGGGGAGAAGAGAGG